CCCAATGCCAGCTGAACCCAGGCCAACATACACACACCTCAGGTCCCCTTGCCACACTGACACACACACACCCTCTCACTGCATGTGTGTCAAAGAGATATTGTCCCTGTCTCTGATGGGGTGCTGCCATCACCATCACCATCAGAGCCAAGCAGAAATAACCCCTATCTGGTGGCATGGGGCTTTTTGGCCTAGGTGTTTGGCCTACTTTGGTCTGCTTTGGCCTGGTTTGAGAGTGCGGAGCGTATTCTGTGAGCTGGAACAGACAGGAAAGAAGATTTGCTTCCCGTGAGCCCATCGTCTGCTCTGCCTAGCATGACAACGCTGTGTGTGTGTGTGTGTGTGTGTGTGCCTGTTCGTGAGCATGTGCGTTTGTGTGTGTGTGTATTTGTGTGCCTGTGTGCATGAGTGATTGTGTGTCACTGAAGCGCATGAAGGGAGAAGTGATGAGAACAAGCTGACATGGTAACCCAGGAGCCCTCCATACTCTCTTACACACACACACACACACACACACACACACACACACACACACACACACACACAGATGGCAAGTGGTGCTCCACAGCCTCCCCTGCTGAGATAGAAGACTGGAGGACAGGAGGGGTGGAGAAAGACGGAGGGGTGATCATGTGACGGACGCTCCACACACACAACACACACACACACAGCCTGCTTGCCAAGAGGGGATCATGACAGCCAGTGTCTGTCAAGCTGTCTGTTGTAGGGCAGAGCCGCCACAGAGCGTGTTTTCTAGTCTGTCTGTCTCTCCCTAGCTGGCAGGCCAGCTAACAGACAGACAGACAGACAGACATGTACAGTGGGGAGAACAAGTATTTGATACACTGCCGATTTTGCAGGTTTTCCTACTTACAAAGCATGTAGAGGTCTGTAATATTTATCATAGGTACACTTCAACTGTGAGAGACGGAATCTAAAACAAAAATCCAGAAAATCACATTGTATGATTTTTAAGTAATTAATTTGCATTTTATTGAATGACATAAGTATTTGATACATCAGAAAAGCAGAACTTAATATTTGGTACAGAAACCTGTGTTTGCAATTACAGAGATCATACGTTTCCTGTAGTTCTTGACCAGGTTTGCACACACTGCAGCAGGGATTTTGGCCCAATCCTCCATACAGACCTTCTCCAGATCCTTCAGGTTTTGGGGCTGTCGCTGGGCAATACAGACTTTCAGCTCCCTCCGAAGATTTTCTATTGGGTTCAGGTCTGGAGACTGGCTAGGCCACTCCAGGACCTTGAGATGCTTCTTACGGAGCCACTCCTTAGTTGCCCTGGCTGTGTGTTTCGGGTCGTTGTCATGCTGGAAGACCCAGCCACGACCCATCTTCAATGCTCTTACTGAGGGAAGGAGGTTGTTGGCCAAGATCTCGCGATACATGGCCCCATCCATCCTCCCCTCAATACGGTGCAGTCGTCCTGTCCTCTTTGCAGAAAAGCATCCCCAAAGAATGATGCTTCACGGTTGGGATGGTGTTCTTGGGGTTGTACTCATCCTTCTTCTTCCTCCAAACACGGCGAGTGGAGTTTAGACCTAAAAAGCTCTATTTTTGTCTCATCAGACCACATGACCTTCTCCCATTCCTCCTCTGGATCATCCAGATGGTCAGTGGCAAACTTCAGACGGGCCTGGACATGCGCTGGCTTGAGCAGGGGGACCTTGCGTGCGCTGCAGGATTTTAATCCATAACGGCGTAGTGTGTTACTAATGGTTTTCTTTGAGACTGTGGTCCCAGCTCTCTTCAGGTCATTGACCAGGTCCTGCCGTTTAGTTCTGGGCTGATCCCTCACCTTCCTCATGATCATTGATGCTCCACGAGGTGATATCTTGCATGGAGCACCAGACCGAGGGTGATTGACCGTCATCTTGAACTTCTTCCATTTTCGAATAATTGCGCCAACAGTTGTTGCCTTCTCACCAAGCTGCTTGCCTATTGTCCTGTAGCCCATCCCAGCCTTGTGCAGGTCTACAATTTTATCCCTGATGTCCTTACACAGCTCTCGGGTCTTGGCCATTGTGGAGAGGTTGGAGTCTGTTTGATTGAGTGTGTGGACAATTCTCTTTTATACAGGTAACGAGTTCAAACAGGTGCAGTTAATACAGGTAATGAGTGGAGAACAGGAGGGCTTCTTAAAGAAAAACTAACAGGTCTGTGAGAGCCGGAATTCTTACTGGTTGGTAGGTGATCAAATACTTATGTCATGCAATAAAATGCAAATTAATTATTTAAAAATCATACAATGTGATTTTCTGGATTTTTGTTTTAGATTCCGTCTCTCACAGTTGAAGTGTACCTATGATAAAAATTATAGACCTCTACATGCTTTGTAAGTAGGAAAACCTGCAAAATCGGCAGTGTATCAAATACTTGTTCTCCCCACTGTATGTATGACACGCTTCACATGACCAGGTTATATTATGATACAACACCGCTAGCTAGGTGACTTCATATACTGAACAAAAATATAAATGCAACATGTAAAGTGTTGGTCCCATGTTTCATGAGCTGAAATAAATGATCCCAGAAATGTTCCATACGCACATAGCTTATTTCTCTCAGATTTTGTGCACAAATTTGTTTACATTCCTTTAGTGAGCATTTCTCCTTTGCCAAGATAATCCATCCACCTGACAGGTGTGGCATATCAAGAAGCTGATTAAACAGCATGATCATTACACAGGTGCACCTTGTGCTGGGGACAATAAAAGGCCACTCTAAAATGTGCAGTTTTGTCACACAACAAAATGCCACAGATGTCTCAAGTTTTGAGGGAGGAATGTCCACCAGAGCTGTTGCCAGATAATCTAATGTTCATTTCTCTACCATAAGCCGCCTCCAAAGTCGTTTTAGAGATTTTGGCAGTACGTCCAACCAGCCTCACAACCACAGACCATGTGTATGGTGTCGTGTGGACGAGCGGTTTGCTGATGTCAACGTTGTGAACAGAGTGACCCATGGTGGCGGTGGGTTATGGTATGGGCAGGCATAAGCTACGGACAACGAACACAATTGCATTTTATCGATGGCAATGTGAATGCACAAAAATACCGTGACGAAGTCCTAAGGCCCATTGTGAGGCCCATTTTATTTAACGGTTCTGTGACCAACAGATGCATACAGTGGGGGAAAAAAGGATTTAGTCAGCCACCAATTGTGCAAGTTCTCCCACTTAAAAAGATGAGAGAGGCCTGTAATTTTCATCATAGGTACACGTCAACTATGACAGACAAAATGAGATAAAAAAAATAAAAAATTTAATGAATTTATTTGCAAATTATGGTGGAAAATAAGTATTTGGTCAATACCAAAAGTTTCTCAATACTTTGTTATATACCCTTTGTTGGCAATGACACAGGTCAAACGTTTTCTGTAAGTCTTCACAAGGTTTTCACACACTGTTGCTGGTATTTTGGCCCATTCCTCCATGCAGATCTCCTCTAGAGCAGTGATGTTTTGGGGCTGTCGCTGGGCAACACGGACTTTCAACTCCCTCCAAAGATATTCTATGGGGTTGAGATTTGGAGACTGGCTAGGCCACTCCAGGACCTTGAAATGCTTCTTACGAAGCCACTCCTTCGTTGCCCGGGCGGTGTGTTTGGGATCATTGTCATGCTGAAAGACCCAGCCACGTTTCATCTTCAAGGCCCTTGCTGATGGAAGGAGGTTTTCACTCAAAATCTCACGATACATGGCCCCATTCATTCTTTCCTTTACACGGATCAGTCGTCCTGGTCCCTTTGCAGAAAAACAGCCCCAAAGCATGATGTTTCCACCCCCATGCTTCACAGTAGGTATGGTGTTCTTTGGATGCAACTCAGCATTCTTTGTCCTCCAAACACGACGAGTTGAGTTTTTACCAAAAAGTTATATTTTGTTTTCATCTGACCAAATGACATTCTCCCAATCCTCTTCTGGATCATCCAAATGCACTCTAGCAAACTTCAGACGGGCCTGGACATGTACTGGCTTAAGCAGGGGGACACGTCTGGCACTGCAGGATTTGAGTCCCTGGCGGCGTAGTGTGTTACTGATGGTAGGCTTTTTTACTCTGGTCCCAGCTCTCTGCAGGTCATTCACTAGGTCCCCCCGTGTGGTTCTGGGATTTTTGCTCACCGTTCTTGTGATCATTTTGTCCCCACGGGGTGAGATCTTGCGTGGAGCCCCAGATCGAGGGAGATTATCAGTGGTCTTGTATGTCTTCCATTTCCTAATAATTGCTCCCACAGTTGATTTCTTCAAACCAAGCTGCTTACCTATTGCAGATTCAGTCTTCCCAGCCTGGTGCAGGTCTACAATTTTGTTTCTGGTGTCCTTTGACAGCTCTTTGGTCTTGGCCATAGTGGAGTTTGGAGTGTGACTGTTTGAGGTTGTGGACAGGTGTCTTTTATACTGATAACAAGTTCAAACAGGTGCCATTAATACAGGTAACGAGTGGAGGACAGAGGAGCCACTTAAAGAAGAAGTTACAGGTCTGTGAGAGCCAGAAATCTTGCTTGTTTGTAGGTGACCAAATACTTATTTTCCACCATAATTTGCAAATAAATTCATTAAAAATCCTACAATGTGATTTTCTGGATTTTTTTTTCTCAATTTGTCTGTCATAGTTGACGTGTACCTATGATGAAAATTACAGGTCTCTCTCATCTTTTTAAGTGGGAGAACTTGCACAATTGGTGGCTGACTAAATACTTTTTTCCCCCACTGTATCTGTATTCCCAGTCATGTGAAATCCATAGATTAGGGCCTAATGAATTTAGTTCAATTGACTGATTTCCTCATATGAACTGTAACTCAGTAAAATCTTTGAAATTGTTGCATGTTGCATTTATATTTTTGTTCCGTATAAATGAGACACCTGTTCTTCACGCTACCCTCTAGGGTCATTAAGTAGTGATGGGTTGATGTGGTTATGACGTGTTACTGACTCAGTTTCCTCCTCTCTCTAGAGAGAGGCGACGACGAGCGATATTATGACGCTCCATCGAGTAGCTATCTCTCTCTATCGCGGTATCTCTGCTCTCTCTCTCTCTCTCATCTCTCTCTATCTCTCTCTATCTTCTATCTCTCTTCCCCCCCCGCCTCCCTCTCCAGCTCTGGTAAGAGGGTTCACCCTGTACTCTCTGGCAGTGCAGCAGCTGTCCAAACAGGACCACTATGACTTTGGCCTGCGTGCCCTGACCTCACTGCTCCGCTACGCTGGCAAGAAGAGACGTGTCTGCCCCGACGTGGCGGACGAGGAGGTACAGTGACACTACTCACTTGAACTGACCAGGTTATACAGTAGTAAACAGCACTGCAATTGACGCAGGAGTATACAAGCTATAACTAACGCTACGTTCCAGGATTGGGTTCAATTACATTCCATTTGAGTCAATTTCTAGAGAGAGAAAATAGTATTCAAGAGACAGAGCGGTGGTAATGGTAGGGTGTGGTGGTTAGCAGACAGACAGACAGACAGACAGACAGACAGACAGACAGACAGACAGACAGACAGACAGACAGACAGACAGAAATACGTCAGAAAGAAAGAAATTCCCCTTTGAATAAATTGGCCAATGGCTCTTTTCAATTAATCTCCTGAATAGACTGAATTGACCTGTAATTAAATCCATCTGACCTCAGTGTGTGTGTGTGTGTTTGTGTGTGTGGGTTTGTATGTGTTTGTGAGTGTGTGTGTGTGTGTGTGTGTGTGTGTGTGTGTGTGTGTGTGTGTGTGTGTGTGTGTGTGTGTGTTTGCGTGCTCTCTCAGAGTGTGGGAGCAGAGAGCTGCAGAGAGACAGAGAATGCAGATGAGAGTTTTGACACCATAAAAATATGTGCCTGACACCCCAAAGGGAACCTGGCACTGTGATAAAACATTTATCAAAGAGGACAAAAACTTGAAAAGGATTCATCTTTTACCTGATAGCGAGCTTCAGTCGTTCTTCTGTGCTTTTGTATAAATTCACAGTTCCTCGCATTTGTTAAGTTTCTGTTGATGTTGTAAAAGTTAAAAGTGAATGTAAAAGTTAAATCGGTGGTGATTGAACGAGAACATTGTGTACAGTTGTATTTAAAGTAAACTCATGTTAAAGACAGAAAACTATACCTCGCTGTGGCTCAAACAGGATGTGATGTCACCCCCAACCTCTTACCCCTGATCAGATCCTGCTGATGTCTATGAAAGACATGAACATCGCCAAGCTGGCCTCAGTCGACCTGCCGCTGTTCAACGGCATCATCCAGGACCTCTTCCCCGCGGTGGAGACCCCTACCATCGACTACGGAAAGGTACCACACATACACACCACACACACACACACACACCTCCCCGCAATGGAAATCCCCACCATTAGGGAAAAATAAAGTGGCTTCCCAGTTTCCCAGTTGAGCTGAAAATGATTATAGTCAATGGAGCCTGTCAAAGCAGATAATCCATTAACTAGAGGACGAGGGTCGGAGAAGCCTCACATTCTAATGAATGAGTCTCTGAGAACTAAAAGTTCATCCGCTTCAGGTCACGGACACTCACTGTGCTTTTGTCTGATGATGGGACCAACAGACACGTCAGCGGTCTGATGAACTCATGGTGGGACTGAGAAGCTGAGGAGAGGGGAACGAAACACTTCTGGAGAGAGGACTGTAGCTATCACTCCATCCACCCATCCTTCCATCTCTCTACTCCCCCCTCCCCTCTCTCTCTCTCTTTCTCTCTCCCTCTCTCTTTCCACACGACTGCCGTCTCTAAAATGTGCCATCTGTTTTTACACTACCGAGACGTGAGTGAGCCAAGATGAAAAATGCCGCATCACATCTGCATAAATAATTCATTGTGTTGAGCTGCTCCACTCTGCATCGGCTCTGCATGTTGTGGAGGGAGAGAGAGAGAGAGCTAGGAGGATATTTATTCATTAAGCTGTTTATTTGGCCTGCTTATAAACGGTCTCTCCCAGTCCCACTGGTACAAGTGCAGTAATAGGGAGGGGGGGGGGATACTCTATAGGGGTTACATTGTTGCATTGTAACTACACTGAATGCTTGCATTGGTCAGCATAGGCCAGATGTATAAATCAGACCCTCTGACTGCTCTGTACCAGATGCCCCCAGGGCAGACCTGGCCTCAGCAAGTAGCCCTTAATACTGTTTCACTAACTCCGTCCATCCGTCCCTCTGTATCGGCTTCACTCACTCTATCTCTCCATCCATCCCTTCCTCTCCTCCCCCTCTCCCCGAAGCTGAGAGAGACGATCGAGGCGGAGCTGCGTCAGGCCTGTCTCCAGGTGACCCCCTTCACCGTGACCAAGGTCATCCAGCTGTACGAGACCAAGAACTCCAGACACTCCACCATGATCGTGGGCAAGACGGGCAGCGGCAAGACGGTCACCTGGAGGACCCTGCAGAGCACCCTGACAACGATGCACCGCAAGGGAGAGCCCGGGTTCAACCTGGTCCGGGTACGTCTGTCTGTCTAACTGTCTGTTCCCTCTGTTTGTCTGTCAGACCACCCTGCACCGCAAAGAGGAGCCCAGGTTCAACCTGGTCCGGCACGTCTGTCTCTCTTGTCCCTCTCTCTTTCTGTGTGTCTGTCTGGTCCCTCTCTCTGGTCCGTCTGTCTGTCTCTCTGGTCCGTCTGTCTGGTCCCTCTCTCTGGTCCGTCGGTCCGTCTGTCTGGTCCCTCTCTCTGGTCCGTCGGTCTGTCTGTCTGGTCCTCTGTTGGCTTTCTGACTCTGGCCCTGCACCAAGACTACAATACAGTGCAATAGGGTCCATTTCTCTATCTACCTGTTTGTCTATTTGTATTTGCCTCTATGTATACACTGCAATAGGCCCAATGTTCTGTCTGTCTGTCTGTCTTTTGACTTCTCTGACCCTACATCAGGAGCACCGTAACGTCTATATTAGGCCCATCTCTCTCAGTCTGTATGTATGTTTTTCCCACTCCGTCAAACCATTCCACATCTCCTGTTCCCATTTCACATCAAGCGTCTCTCCCAGAGGAGCCCTTCCAACAAATGATCCATTATAGAAGCCATTATCACACCCTCAGTATTACTGCTGTAGAATATCTCACACCTATCAGCACGCTCCGTAAACATCATATACATTTCTTCCCCACCTCCCACCATCCCCACGTCTCATTGGTCTATTGGCCCATCCTGCGCTAGGCACTAAGCCCCTCTCTCTCTCTACTCAGCCTGGCTTCCCATGGGTCCCCTGGGCTCCCAGACGGCCTATCCTGTCTAATTGAGTGTATCTCATGATCTTCAGAGGGTAGAGTAATCATTTTAAGGGCGTTCTGAAAGAGAGGGAGTTAGAGAGGGAGTAGGAGAGGCAGACGGGTGGGTAGATGTGTTCAACGGAGCCGATGGGCTGAGTGGAGAGACGGATTAAGTCACCAAACCGAATCATCTCTTCGAGTCTGAGAGGAGAGAAAGAGGAGAGGAGAGGAAGGAAATTCTCCTTCCCCTCCTCCACCTCCTCCCCCTCCTCCTCCTCCTCCTCGTCCTCATCTTCTCACAGGATGTTGGGCGTACTTTGCACGTCTGCTCTCCTGCTCTCTCTGTCCAACTATTTTAGTTGGTTTCTTTTACTCTCTCTCTATCTCTCTCTCCCTCTCCCTCTCCCTCTCCCTCTTCCCTCTCCTTCCTCTCCCTCTCCCTCGGGGTTCCCTCTCCCTCTCCCTCTCCATCTCTCTCTCTCTCTCTCTCCCTCTCTCTGTGTCCCTGTCTGTCTCATTAGTATGACAGTAGCATGCGTTTATCCGGCGTCATTACAACGCTCTGTTGTGCCCTGAGCTCAGAGACAATCCAGTCACTCAAAGATATACTTCACTGCAGAAGAGTACCCTCACCACCCATATTAAAGACTCTCTGCAGCTCTCTGCTCCCACACTCAGAGAGACACACACCACACACACACACTGTCGTTGACTAACGCTTGGCTGGGAAACACACACAACAGGGGCCACAGGGGGCAAGCCTCGCCACGCTCACCCCGCCGCTCAAACCCGCCGCTCCAATCCGCCGCTCGCACCGCTCCAAACGCCCGCCTCGGCTCAACGCGCGCTTCCAAGCCGGCTCCACCGCTCAATGCAAGAAGAGGCAGAGAAGAGAGAGAGAGAGTTGAGAGTTAGTTCAAAGCTTGGCGTTACGTTAATTGCCACAGCCTTACCGTTTGTGGATTTAAGTCACAATATGTTTATAGCAGTGCGTTAAGGTCCCCTCGAAACTCTATCCATTCATGAGGGGTGTCCCACAACCATCCCCTATGATTTCTTCATGTTGGAATCTACGAGAGTTAGTTCACAGTCGTTTAGTTAATTGCCCCACAGCTTACCGTTGGCTTTCTAGTCACAATATGTTTTCTAGCAGTGCGTTTAAGGGAGCTAGCGCTAGCTGCTGTTGGCATGGGGCTACATGGGGCTGGGGCTGGTGTTGCTCTATGAAGCTCTCTGCCGCTCTCTACTCTTTGTTGCAAGTTGTTTTCTCTGCCATGCTCTCTCTCTCTGTCTCTCTAGCCCCTTCATCCCTCCTTCATCACCCTCCCACCCTCCTTCCCTCCACACGTGGCTCCTCCAGATGTGGTTAAAAATAGGCCAACAGAGGGAGGGATGGAGAGATTGAGGAGGGGTGTGTGTTGTGTTTCCAAGTTCACTTCGTGTATGAGTTGCATGGAAGTTTGTTGGACGTATCGATTGTTGGTTGCTTTCATGTGTGTGCAGGATGTGTGCTTCTAAATGTGCTTTAGTTTTACTGTTGATTTTATCTAATGTTGATCTAAACTTGAGTCACCTCCAACACACCTTCACTGCCCTGTACCTTACCATCCCCCCTTTTCTCCTTCTCCTTCTCCTCATTTCACATATCACTCCATTTACATTTTAGTCATGTAGCAGACGCTCTTATCCAGAACGACTTACAGGACCAATTAGGATTAAGTGCCTTGCTCAAGGGCAAATAGACAGATTTTTCACCTAGTCGGCTCAGGGATTCGAACCAGTGACCTTTCGGTTACTCGCCCAACGTTCTTAACCATCCCATTTACTGTCCTCCTTTTTTAGACCATACATCACTACTTTCTCTATTCTTATCATTGTATTTGTATAATCCATCATTCATAATACATTCATTCCTATTCCCAGTGTGTCTGTCTCAGTAGTGTGTTATTCTCTGTGTCTCTCTGTGTGGAACTTCCTGTGGTTGCTGTAATTCTCTTTAGTTATAGGATTATTGATCTATACTCTCTATGTAACTCAACCCCACGTATCTCTCTCTCGCTCTCTCTCTCTGTCCCGCTTTCTCTTCTCTCCCTGAGTCTGCCTTCCTTCATTCTTTGCATTTCTGACTCAACACCTTGCTCTTTGCATATCTATTTTGGGTCTCTATCTGTCTCTCACCATGCCAAGTCATCACCTCACCCCTACTCTCCATATCTTTCCTCTCCTCTCTCTCTCTTATCTCGCTCTCTCTCTCTCGCTTCTTCTCTGCTCGCTTCTCTCTTATACTCTCTCTCTCTCTCTCTATCTCTATCCTCTCTGTCTCTATCTCGCTGCTATATCTGTCTCTCTCTATCTCTCAGGGGCTCTCGTGTCTCTCTCGCTATGTGTTTCTCTCTATACGCTCTCTCTTTCGTGTCTTCTCTGTCTCTGTCTCTCGCTATCTCTCTGTTCTCTCCTCTTCGCTACTCGCGCGCCTGCTCGCATCGCGCTCGCTCTCATCTCTGCTCTCTCTCTCTCCCTCTCGATCTCTCTCCTCTCTCTCGCTCTCTCTCATCTCTCTCTCTCTCTCTCTCTCTCTCCTCTCTCTCTCTCTCTCTCGCTTCATGTAAGGCAAACGTTCCGTACCCTGTCCTATGCACATCAACACCATGCTTTACTCTTCTATGTAGCAACAGTCATCAAAATTCTTAAATGGTTTTAAAAACAATTCTAATAGATTCAACAGTTGGACAATGGATGGAGATACTCCAAACGCTTTGAGTTTTCATAAGCCATCCGATATTGACTGAATTATAGCACATAAAACACTTGACTGGCACGGACAAATAATTAATGGAGTTTAGGGATTTTGGTGGGAATTCAGGTATTACATTTATTGTAAAATTTCACTTTTTATTTCTTAGAATGCAATCATACAGTTGAAGTTGAAACTCGTTTTTCAACCTCTCCACACATTTCTTGTTAACAAACTATAGTTTTGGCAAGTCGGTTAAGACATCTACTTTGTGCATTACACAAGTCATTTTTCCAACAATTGTTTACAGACAGATTATTTCACTTATAATTCACTGTATCACAATTCCAGTGGGTCAGAAGTTTACATACACTAAGTTGAATGTGCCTTTAAACAGCTTGGAAATAGGCTAATTGACATAATTTGAGTCAATTGGAGGTGTACCTGTGGATGTATTTCAAGAAATCAGCCAAGTCTGGTTCATCCTTGGGAGCAATTTCCAAACACCTGAAGGGGTACCACGTTCATCTGTACAAACAATAGTACGCAAGTATAAACACCATGGGACCACGCAGCCGTCATACCGCTCAGGAAGGAGACGCGTTGTGTCTCCTAGAAATGAACGTACTTTGGTGCGAAAAGTGCAAATCAATCCCAGAACAACAGCAAAGGACCTTGTGAAGATACTGGAGGAAACAGGTACAAAAGTATCTATATCCACAGTAAAACAAGTCCTATATCGACATAACCTGAAAGGCCGCTCAGCAAGGAAAGAAGCCACTGCTCCAAAACCGCCATAAAAAAGCCCAGACTATGGTTGCAACTGCACATGGGGACAAAGATCGTACTTTTTGGAGAAATGTCCTCTGGTCTGATGAAACAAAAATAGAACTTTTTGGCCATAATGACCATCGTTGCGTTTGGAGGAAAAAGGGGCGATTTTTGCAATCCGAAGAACACCATCCCAACTGTGAAGCACGGGGGTGGCAGCATCATGCTGTGGGGGTGCTTTGCTGTAGGAGGGACTGGTACACTTCACAAAATAGATGGCATCATGAGGAAGGGAAATTATGTGGATATATTGAAGCAACATCTCAAGACATCAGTCAGGAAGTTAAAGCTTGGTCGCAAATGGGTCTTCCAAATGGACAATGACCCCAAGCATACTTCCAAAGTTGTGGCAAAATGGCTTAAGGACAACAAAGTCAAGGTATTGGAGTGGCCATCACAAAGCCCTGACCTCAATCCTATAGAAAATGTGTGGGCAGAACTGAAAAAGCGTGTGCGAGCAAGGAGGCCTACAAACCTGACTCAGTTACACCAGCTCTGTCAGGAGGAATGGGCCAAAATTCACCCAACTTATTGTGGGAAGCTTGTGGAAGGCTACCCGAAACGTTTGTCCCAAGTTAAACAATTTAAAGGCAATGCTACCAAAAACTTCTGACCCACTAGGAATGTTATGAAATAAATAAAAAGCTGAAATAAATAATTCTCTCTACAATTATTCTGACATTTCACATTCTTAAAATAAAGTGGATTAAATGTCAGGAATTGTGAAAAACTGAGTTTAAATGTATTTAGCTAAGGTGAATGTAAACTTCCGACTTCAACTGTATATACATTTTCTTATTGTATCAGGTATTATTTAAATATGTTGTGTTAAAATAAAGAAAATAATATGTGCCTCATAAATGCACCAGTAGCATTTGCAAATTAAATTTAAAATTTAACCCAAAAAAGGGGGAAAAAGGGCGGGAAACCCCCAAACACTTGCTTGCTAAATGAATTTAAAAAGGGAAAAAAGTAAATGTATAAACCCGCAATTTAGGTGTGCTGAGTGCCTCATTCATTACGTTGTTTTCATTTTTTCTTTCAAAATTCAAAAAGGGTGTCAATAGAAAAGGGTACCCCCAAATCTTTCTTCTCTTTTGGGGAGGGAAGTGTTTAGGGCGGTGCGTTAATCCCGGAAAAGCTTTTTTGCTTTTTAGATTCAACGGAAAAAACCATGTATTCCCTTGAGCCCTTTCAGCCTCACCGGGGTGTGTTTGGGCAGGTACTTACAAAAATTCCCTGGTCGTAAAATTAAAAGGGATAAAACGACAGGAGTATGGAAAGCGCGGAAAGTAAAATAAAAGAAAAATCCAGGAAAAATTTTAAGTGACAAGTGGATTTAGCCCCCCTAAAAACACAAAAATGAGGTTGAAAAAAAGACAGACCCTTAGGGTCGGGGATGGCGTTGCTATTTGGGGAATCACACAAATAAACAGTCCCCCCCTTTTTTTCTTTTTTCTTCTTCTTTCTTTTTTTTTTTTCTTTACCCCTTTTTTTTTCTTTTTTTTGTTATTCTTTCTTTCTTTTCTTTCTTTTTTCTTTTTCTTTTTTTTTTTTTTTTTTTTCTTTTTTCTTCTTTCTTTTTTTCTTTTTTTTGTCAATGTTTTTCTTCTTTTCATTCGTAATCCCCCCCCCCCCTTCCCTTCCATTTTGGGAAAATTAAAAAAACTTTTTCCCAAAGTTAGGCAAAAGCAAAATGGGTGTGGGGTTTTTAAAAAACGTTTTTATGCTATCACGTTTTGCCCCTCCCCTTGACCTTCCCTGTTGCCCTGGAGGGTGGGTGCCTTTGAGGAGTCCCCTTGAACCCCAAAGGCGGTGAGTTTTGGAGGGTTTTTTGGGAATACGACTGCCCAAACGGGGGGGACCGACGGGGGTTTCTCCCTCATGAGAGGGGCCTGCGCAGGTACGGGAATCGTTACAAAGCAGAGGTTTTCAAAAATTTTTTAAAAACACTTTAGCTGTGCTTGATTGATTTTGCCTGGCACAATGGAACCAATAGGAAAGTAACAAAAAACAAAAAAGGCCCAGGAGTGCAAGCCCCGCCCATCTGGCACCCTTGGCAGGTTTTAAAGAAAAGTAAAAGTATTTGAAAGGTTTTTCGAATAGTTTGAACCCAGGTCAAAGATAGGGGATTTTTGGGCCCAGAGACGTCTAATGTCATTGATTGTCCACTAGACCTCCACTCACATGTTGTTGTCCCAGGTCTGAATCAGTTCCTGATTAGAGGGAAAGCCAACAGTGGTCGGAATTGAATAGCCCCGGCGAGTGGTTTGTGGGGGATTGGAGAGCGGAATAAAGAAAATAGGGGAACACCAACGTATGTGGGAGATTTAGGCCAGGGGA